ATGGGCCGGAAGGCGATTATGTTACGGGCCGGAAGGCAATGTTATGTGGACCGAAAGGTCCGGGCCGGAAGGCGTATGTGGGTAAGTCGTATACTGGGGAACTCACTAAGCATTTATGCTTACTAGTTGTGTTTATGTTTTTCAGGTACTAGCGATGACCGTGGGAAGGCGCCGGTGTGACACGTACACACTGCCATTGCTGAAGACCTTGAGGACTTATTATTTATACTTTTGCAATAAACTTGGAATAAACTCTTTTGTCGAATAATGATGTTTTATTTTAAATGAAAAATTTATTTGAAAATTTGAGCTGTTACAAAAATAAAGTCAAAATTAGCCAACGGAGTTGATTATGATTTTTTTGTGAATTTATATGGAGTTGTAAAGCATATTCTCACCTACACGTCAATATAAAGAACGTCGAAAACGGAGTTCGTATGCGAAAGTTATGAATTTCTGAAGTTCGGGACGCGAAACCCCAAAACTATCAGCCACCACGACGTGGTAAAAGTGCTACGACATGGTAGGAGCTCTAGAGTTTGTCATACCCACTTGAAATGATGCATGCAGTGACGAGTCAGTCACCACGACGTGGTAAACCGTACCACGATGTCGCAAGGGCAAAGTATTCCCTATAAATAGATTTGAAGGGCTAGCTGAGTTTGGGGTTGCTCCAACTCCTCTCTCTTACTCCCGATACCCTCTATAGCCATCCCGAAGTACACCCGAAGCCCCGGTTTCATCCCGAGACCCGAATCAAGTCCCGAAGCCCGAAGATCCCGAGAAGTGAGATTCCCGAGTTGAAGCTCTGCCCGCGAGAAGCCCCGTTTTTATGAAGATCTTCCAGATCTACCGAAGAATACTACTTCTATAAGTCGTAGTGTTGTCCGATCATCTTCTGATCAAGTGAGTGTGTGGTCACTTTCTTCTAACACATAAATATTAAGTATTTGCTATGAAGTACATGCTATGTGTATAATATAAAGCTGTTTATACGTGTGGGTGTATAGTCCCTTTCATAAACACGAGTATAATACAAGTATTGTTTGAATGTATTAAGTATATGTTTGGGTGAGTGTGTAGTTACTTTCTTCTAACGCATAATTATGAAGTATCTTATAAAAGATAGGTGTTATGCGTTTATATATATTTTTGTTTATATGTGTGAGTGTGTAGTTACTTTCTTCTAGCGCATAATTCTGAAGTATTTTATACAAAATACGTGTTATGCATTTATATATATATATATATATATATAGATATATATATATATATATATATATATATATATATATATATATATATATATATATATATATTGTTGTTGTTTATATGTGTGAGTGTATAGTTACTTTCTTGTAACACATAAATATGAAGTATTTTCTATGAAATACATGCTATGTGTTTATATATTGTTGTTTATTTGAGATAAGTGTGGAATGAATGTTTTATATAGTTTTTTTTAACGAGTTAAATTGTATATGTATTTTATATCTACAAATATGTTGGGTAGAACATGGGTATATGAGATAGTTGGTATGTGATAAAATGATGAGGTATGTAAGATGATTAAGCATAATATTGGTAGATGCACCAAATAGAGAATGACATAATGCTAGCAGATGCGCTTAAGCATAATATTGGTAGATACACCAAATAGAGAACGTCATAATACTAGCAGATGCGCTTAAGGATAATATTGGCAGATGTGCCTAGTAGTGAATGTCGTAATCCTGGCAGAGGCGCTTAAAGGATAATGTCGACAAATGCGCTTTCTTTAGCAATGGAAGTTTGTGCTAATTCCTTAGGTAAATCCTAATGAATGAATGAAGGAAGGATAGTTGATTAATAGGGTACAACCTTGAGAAATAAAGAAGATAATGGAGATAGATAATTGGGTTGATTGTTTGATGATTGAATATAACAATTATATTATTGTCGGTCGAAAACCCTATATGCTCACCAGGCTCCCAAGCCTGACCCACTTAGTTTTCTTTGCATTACATGTAATGGCATAAGAGTATAAGTTGGTGGACTTGACGAGAGATTTTGGATTATAAATCAGTAGTTATAAATAACTGTTGTAAGGTCTATTTTATATTGTTTATGCTCTTGGTCTGTATCGGAAGATGACATCCCAATATTTTGTTATTTAATGGAAATACATTTCTTTAAAGAAATGCTTTGATAAATTTTATCCTATTTTGTTTTGGAAACAAATTCCGCAGCCGTTTTCTTTAAACGAATATTTTGATTTATAAAACAAAGCATAAACAAATCGATTTTTTTTTGCCGTGAAATTGGGGATGTGACAATTATTTTGTAAGAATATAATGAATCTTTATTAAAATTGATATGTCTATGAATATATAAAAATATTATTATTATTCAAATGGTGGTTCAAGAATTATGTTATTCTTCTATAACATTCAGAGAGAACATTCTCATAAAGTTCAATCTAACAAAATAACATTATGACACAATAAAATCGATACTGATTACAAATTAAGCTAGACTTTAAGTTGATTCTTTTTTTAAATATCAGATTTTTTAAATTAAGAGAATTAATTATCCCATAAAATTTGAAAATTTCCTTTTTTATATTTATCTTAATTGACTAAAATACCCTTATGATGAAATTAGATAGTGTTTTTCTATCATCTTTAATTCAATAATATTTGTTAATCATTTTCTTAAAATAACTAAAATGATTGGTCCGCAAATAACACTACATCCACATTACAACCTTATATATATATATATATATATATATATATATATATATATATATATATATATATATATATATATATATATATATGCAAAAGTTCAATAGAGAATCATTATTAATAAAGGAACCAAGGAATGAATCCAAAGCGTCGAAATTTAAAGCGATCAACGACAAAGGCAAGGGTTGTAGATATTTACGATGGACGCACATGGACCATATTATAACAAAACCCATTTTTTTCGTTTAAATTTTTTTAGAGCATATTTTTTATCGAAAAAAATCGGGTATACCGTTGTTCATGATTTTTCGTCCTCTTTCCAAAGAGATCCATGATAATATATATAAAAATTCTTGGTTGAAAAGTTAAGGTCTATTTTTTATAGAAAAATATTAATAAATATATAAAAATTCATACTTTTTTGTACTTTTTAAACACAGATTCATACTCATGTAAAAAAATGATATTTCAGTTCAGATTCACATAGTGCACCTGTTCATATTCATATTGTGAACCTGTTCAGATTCACATTGTGAATTTTCTCAGATTCATAGTGGGCATAATAGTAAGTCAGATTCATAGTGTGAATCTGAACTCATCGGAGCTTTTTCATATTGCGAATGTTAAAAATTGAAATATATATAATTTAGATTCAGAGCGTGAATCTAGACTGATCGAGGTTTTTTTTATGATCCTTTTCAGATTCACGGTATGCATAATAGTTAGTCAGATTCACAATGTGAATCTGAACCGTTCAAGATTTTTCACATTGTGAATGTTAAAATTGGAAATATTTACCATTTAGATTCACACTGTGAATCTACACTGTTCGAGTTTTTATTATTATTATTTTTCTAAATCAGTGTTGATGTTTATTAATAGAGTATAAAAAATTAATATTTTTTGTATTATTATTATTTTTTTTATAAAAATAAACTCAAATATTGAAAAAACTAACAAAATGAAGTAGGTATTTTTCGAAGAAAAAAAAAGTTTATTTTTTATATATCAACATGGATCTCAATGGAAAAAGGACAAAAAATCGAGAACAACGATATATTCTGTTTTTTTTGGTAAAAAGAGGTAGATTTTTTTGTATAATCCAGTATGTGTGAATACAATGTAAAAGTGTATATCTATTTTGTTGGCCGTTGATCATTTTGATTTCTGATACTCACAATTGGCTCCTTGTTTATATATATATATATATATATATATATATATATATATATATATATATATAATATATATATATATATATATATATATATATATATATATATATAGGGAAAGGATCAAATGAGAACACCTAGTTGAGAACGCGAGAACACTTCTGGACCAATCATATTATAAGGGTATATTAGTAATTGTTTATTTACTTTAAATAAAATCAAATTAAATTCAAATCTTAATTTCCTAAAATTTAGTGATAATGATTATCTACCTAAAATAAAATATGAACCGATTTTTTTTATTTCTTTTGTTAATGGATATTAAAGATAATTTATATTATTTTTTTGTCAAATAAAAAATCCTTTTTTTTTTCTAATTTACTATTCATCAAAATAATTTCAATCATATATGAATAAAATATTTGTAATTATAAAAATATATGTTTGTAATCCTAAATAATAAATCATAATTTAGAGATAACATTTATAAATGAATAAAAATAAATTACTAATCATACATGAATATGCTAACAAATAAAAAAAATCAACACATTAAAAATTATATTCATAACATAAAATTTTCAAAGATTGAGTTTATACATTTATATATTTATATTCATAAAAGAATATCCCAAGACTAGTTTGATACATTTATACATACTTATATTCAACAATGATTAAACCACTTCAAAAGAAAAAAAAAATGCAAAATTTATCTCTATATCAGCTATTTTCTTGAATTGGTCACAACCCTTCCTTCTCTTTGAATCAAATGGCGCGCGAGCTTGTGTAACGAGTAGGAGCAGGCACATAATCTAAAGAATTCTAGCATTCATTTTTCTTTGATTAATATCTACAAAAATAACAATAACATATAAAGACAATAAAAATACCAACAAAATATTAAAATGAATGATTAGTAGAAAGAGATATGTTGTTATAATCATAAATGATTATAATGAGGGCATGATTGTGTTTTTGCATCTCTTTCAAATAGCAAGCTTGTAAACCATACGTAGCACAAGTCCCATATGAATATGATTTGTATAAATTGTGATAAGTAAATGAATTTTAGGGTTCAAATGTTGGGATTTCAGATTCAGGGCCATGTTTTCCTTATAAGAGTGAAAAGCATATCAAAAAGCAATGGATTGTATATTGGTGAAACAAAATCAATGTGACCACAATGCCCTGGGCATTGAAATGACTGCTGCCCACATGACTTACAGGGTGCTTGTTCATCCATTAGGCCCAACAAAGGATCATACAATCCTCCTGGCATTGGTCTTCCAACACTGTCAAGTAAAATAGGGTTTGTAATCTTTAAAACACTGTGCTTTCTGACCTCTTCATCAGTCATGAAACTGAACCTTACACCCTCCACAATCTCACACGCACCCTCGGTGGTCTGAGCCATCTTTTACAACTGAAAAACTTCAACACAAATCGAAAACATGTATATATTCCAAAAGATAGGGGAGAGGGGAATAGAGGATTCCTCTATAGACCAGACCGATGCTTTGCTCCTACATGATGCTAGAGAGCACCAGCGAGAAGCGCAGCCGCCGAAATAGCAGTAGGGATGATAGATTTCCAAATTAAAAGTTAAAAAATACCTCTTTCTAACTTTACGGCGGCAGACAGCACCAATGAGCAGTAAGGGCAGAGCAAGGGTGAGGGGCGACTGATGAGGGCGGAAGAGTGGTGGGGATGGAGGAGGGCGGATGAGCACATAGAGGCAGGAAGCTGAGAGAGGGCTAAGGGTTTTTCAAGGTTTGCAAAATTAGGTCAACCAAAATAGAGAGGCAGAGAGTAATTATAGGAGTTTACAAAATTAGGGTAATGTTTATTTACGTTAATACCCTTTATAAATTTTATTAATTTGAAATTTAATTTTTAAATGTATTAATAATTAGAAAAATAACAATTAATTATAGCCACACATCTTAAAAATTAAATGGTCCAGATCTGTTCTCATTTGATATATATATATATATATATATATATATATATATATATATATATATATATATATATATGTGTGTGTGTGTGTGTGTGTGTGGAAAAGTTCAATAGAGAACCCTTATTAATCAAGGAACCAAAGAACCAATTCAAAGCATCAGAATTTAATGCGATCAACGACAAGGAACCAGATTATTAACAAAATCGACTTCCTATTTTTCATTAATTTTTTTTTTTAAACCAAGGTTTTTATTGAAAAAAAAAACGGAATATACCGTTATACACGATTTTTTCGAACTCTTTCCATAGAGATCCATGATGATATATAAAAAACAAACATTTTTTTTCGAAAAAAACTCACTTAATTTTCTTAGTTTTTTTCAATATTTAAGTTTATTTTTATTAAAAAAAATTAATTATACCAAAAATATTAATTTTTTCTACTATATTAATAAACATCAACACCAATTAAAAAAAATAACAAACAACCTCGAACAGCGTAGATTCACACTGTGAATCTAAACCGTAAATATTTCAATTTTTAACATTCATAATATGAAAAATCTCGAACAGTTCAAATTCACATTGTGAATTTGAATTAGTATTATGCACACTATGAATCTGAGAAGATATTTTCAAAAAAAAAGTACGTTTTTTATATATAATCATAGATCTCTATGGAAAGAGGACGAAAAAAGATGAACAACAATATACTCGGTTTTTTTTCAATAAAAAATATGGCCTAAAAAAATTTTAAACGAAAAAAAGTGGTGGATTTTTTTTGTAAAGGGTGGATTTTTCGGTATAATCCATTGTGTGTACGTCTAATATAAAAGTGTACATCTATTTCGTAGTCCGTTGATCGTTATATATATATATATATATATATATATATATATATATATATATATATATATATATATATATATATATATATATATATTATTCTTCAAAAGAAAGTTATTTTTAAACGTATTTTTAAGGATTATATCCCCTTGTATGTATGTTATGATTCAATGTTTGCATGTTGTTGAAAATGATGTTATTTTCTATGTCTCAATTATAGCATACAGTAGCAATGTACTATTGATTTGAAAATGTTTTTATGTTTATAATTTGTAGATACTTTGAAATATATTCTATTGATAAAATAACATTCTGTTTTGGTACTTTCGGGTTTGTTATAAAATATGTTACTGTCACACCATTTTGAAAGTACAATGCTAAATTTGGTATACTCGTAGTATAGAAAATACAAAAAAAAATGTAGTCAATTAATTTCCTTTGGTATTTTATACAAAGTAAATAGAATATATGAAATGATTAAGTCTTATATTGTGTGCTTTCTCTAATTGTTTATCAGTTTTTTTAGTTTTATAAAACTTTATTTAACCTTAATATTTATTTAGTTTTGTAGCTTCCAAACACTCACTTATATGTCAAAGCTTCATGCCATAAATTGCATGAAGTATTGAGTCGCTTGAACGGACCCGTGCTCAATCTTTTTTCAACAACCCACTTCATTTACTTGTTGGACTTACCAGCTCAGTCCGGAGACAAACTTCTTATTCATGGGCTGTTACTACATATGTTGCGTCCTACCACTGAAACGGACGCCGCTGAACACCTATATTTTAGGTTTTTTCGATGTACACTATCATTTGGGTCGGAGGAGTTTTGTCTTCTGACCGGACTTTACATGGGCCGATGTCCTAAATCAAGGATTGAATTTTCAACCATGTATAAACACGGATATGATGAAAATACATTTCGGTCCAGAGTCTTCCCATATTGCACATACACTTCTTTAGTTGTAGAAGATTTAGAGCTCCTTATCTTGAATCAACGGTTTAATGACATATCGGCTCAAGACGGTGTCCGTTCCATTTTGCTAAATATCCTCAATCAAGGTCTTTTAGGAAAGGATCTTAATGATAAAGTCATCAATGAATATTTGTGGGTGGTGGAGAACCTGAATCAATGGAATATGTATTTGTCAATTTAATATTTATAATAAAATACTAATTTTTATACCTTTAACTAATACCTTTTTATTATAATATAGGTTCTTGTCGGGGGGTTATCTATGCACTAAAACATACCACAAATTTTCGGGTATGTTTAAGAAATTTGTGGATCATATGTCCAACTATCCAACAAAAGTGATTGTGTACACACTATCGGGTTTTGTTATTCCTTTGAAGCTATATTTAAATAATAAAAAAAATATATTTAATAATTTTTTTTAATTTTTTTTTTTTATTTTTAATTTTAGTTATTTCTAACACTTATAAATTAATGTATATTTATTACAAGATATGGATATGGGAGATGTTCCCAGCAATCCGTGGAAATGGTGCGATACGACGGAATTATGTATATCCTCGTATAGTGTGCTGGTTTCATATTAGGAGGTTAACTTGGACGAAAGTCTACGATCTTTTTGATGTAGATCAGGACGAGGCGCATCAACAAAAAAAAAAAATGATTGCCTCAGATGTTGAGGCCTCTACTCCACATTATTTGTCATATATTACTAGTCTGAATTGTGAATCTTCTGGAGTCCCTTCTTCTGTACGCTATAACATTAGAAATGATGTAAGTAAATTTGGAAAAGCAGAATTTAGTATAATAAAATTTTTGAAGTATTAGTGATATATGAAAAAATTTACGTTGGCGGCATCTTCGTCAAAAACAAGCTTTGGAAATAGCCAATCTTCCAAGTCTACCGAGCGAACTCATACGGTAGAAATAATGGCAAGACTTGAGTCTTTGGAGGAAGAAATCCAAGGATTGAAAAATAAAAGTGGAACTCGAGACGGTGATGATTTGGAATAGTTTTTTAATGAAGCTTTTGAGGTATTACTATCAATTTAAATATATATCATGTATTATTTAATTTTATAATGAAGCTTTTTATTAATTATTTTTTCTTTAAATGTAGGGAATGAGGATATGGTATATACTCCACAGAAATCAAATCGAGTTAACGATGATGATCATGTTGGTAATCCACCAGAGTATGATTCTAGAAAACAAATCGCGAAGGACGTTATTTGTTTTTTGTTTTGTATATTAAACTTTTTATTTTTTCAAAGTATATTAAAAAAATGAATATGTTTTTTGTAGATGAAGAAGAAAAAAAAGGAGGTTGTTGCTAGCGACATTGTGGATACGGAAAATCATATACCCAGACCTCCTGTTGTTAAAGAAGGTCGTCCAATTAGGCAATTGAAACCTTCTCAATATCTTAGTTCTCCTTACATTTTGGTAAGTATGGTAAAAATCATATTTACTATAATTTTATTACTATATTGATAGTTATTGACTACGTATACACTGTAGGTTCAAAATGTCCCCCGATATCGTACAGGTGGGGTAATACACAATGAACAACCGCCCCCGTATTTGTCAGCGATCCCTCGACACTTTTATTGGAGCCGTATGTGAATACGGGTTGTAATGCCCCTACTCTATACATGGGAAACAAACCGGCTATTTTTTTTGAAACATCGGTTATACAACAAAAAATAGAAGCAAGGTTTTGGGATCTGCTTTTTTATGCAAGTCACATGGGATTTTTAGATGAAGCGGTATGAAGAAATTTCTTTATATTTATAATATAAAAAAATTATAGGCTACTTATGTTTAAATTAAATTTAAATGCAACATGTTGACATATAGGGAAGGCTTTTGAATGAGCAGAGACCGAACGATGCTCGATGGACAATCATTCCATCGTCATTTTTTGGTGCATTTGAGATGTTCTAGTGGGCAGGAAGTGCAACGAGAAATCTGTTTGACCCATTGGATTGATGTAAATCTTGGCTGGAAGTTGACGGTGTAAGTAAAGAAATAATATATATTATCAGTGAATTTATTTGTAATTAATTGCAACGGTTATGTGTTAAAACAGGTTTACTTTTCGATATGCATCAACCCACATCATTGGTACTTCACGAGTTATGGATGGACACACTATCATTGAATTTGCACGACAGCTTCCAAGTATTTGGCGCCGTGAAGATTATTCATTTTGTGCGCTTTGAAGAGCTTATGGACCGCATTCCGGTGGAAATTGGGTATTGGAACCACATGGGTTTGCCTGTTCTGAAAGCATCCATCACTGTTGCGGATGTTACGGACGTGCCCTAACAAGAGGGGATGTATGGAGAGTGCGGTGTGTTTATGTTGATGTTCATGGAGCGGATGGCCATGATATATTATGGATCTTCTATACAGTCGATTTTGAGTTAGTCTGAGTTGTATGTTTTTAGTGACATTCAATGTGTATTGTTTGACGATGATTACTTAACAAAATTTCCCCTAATTATTAAACATAGACAAACTATCAATAGAATAGTACATATTATATATATTAATCATAATAAACAAGCAAATATTAAACTTATTACATAGATAAACTCATAAAAAATGCATAAACTTACTACTTGATTAATCAACAATTATTAAATTCAAACATCTGGAAAATCACTTGGAAAATTTGTTTTTTCTTGAATCATCCCATCGTAATTTTTTTGTATGTTTTTGAGAATCTTTTTCATTTTAACCTCTTCTTTGTTGGCGTAGTCAATTGCATCTCGTACCCAAATCCCTGCAGTTTTTATGTCGCGTTCTTTGTCATGAACCAACCTTATTTTAGATCAAATATTGCCTTGTAATTTATCCAACTATTTCCTATCTTCTTCAATGCCTTTAATCTCGTTCTTGATCTCTTCTTCTTTTATTAACATTTGCAATCGCTTCTCTTATGGCGTTAACCACCATTTTTCTTGAGAGGTGGACATGATTGTATGTAAATGAGGGTTACAAATTAACCACTCATATAATATTTGTAAATCTCAGACGCATACATTTAAGTGTCTATATATAATTGATAATTTAACTACTTTTTTTATAGGCTTTGACTACTATCAAATAGGTTTTGACTACTATTAGGTGTTTTCATATCGTACCAAGACATTATTGTAATTTGACCACATTCATATAGGATTTGACTACTCTCTACTAGCCATTGACTACTACCTCATGTGTAGTCTTATGGTACATTGAATTTTTGACACATCATTGTTATTTGACTACTTTTTTATTGGTTTTGACTACTTTCAATTAGTCTTTGACTAATATTTTATTGGAGTGACTATTTTTTATAGGTTTTGACTACTAACTTTTAGCCGTTGACTACTATTTAATGTACATTTCTTATCAATTCAGAAATCAAAGAAACAATACAAAAAAATTGTAGTGTGAAAATAACAGAAAGATCAAAGGAGATGAAAAGGATCCTTGCAAAATTTAATTGGCCATCTACATCCAACAATAAGCCTCCTTTGGAGTCAAATTCCCAAAACGTTTCAACCAATCCCCTACCAACATTGATCATCCTATATTAGGGGAGAAGATGGATGAGGAAGTGAAAAAAGTGTTGTTACAAAGAGAAGCTGAGGTGGATAAGGCTTTTGAAGATTATCGTTTCCAACGAAACCTTCTAGATAACTACTGGGATGACATTGATCATAAAAGGAATTGGATTATACGAACTAGGGAAGAAATCCAATCTGCCGAGAGTTCGATCCGCTCTAGTGAAGAAATTTTTGGAAAGCTAAAGACTGAAATAGAACTCCATGAGTACTATTTGGAGAAAAAAAGGAATTCCTTGCTACGAAAAAAGACTATCCTTACGAGTTTCCGATGTAGGAAGAAGATGAGTAATATTTTAATAGTTTGCCTGTTTGTTGAAGTGATTTTAAGGTAGAATATGTCTCTATGTACGTCTTTTATTTTTGATTTTTAGGTAATATATATGTATCTTTGCTTTTTATTACTGGTTGTTCAGCAAAAAAAATGTGTAAGAGTATTTGGTTTACTTATGTTTACTAATTTAATTATGTTAATGTCAAATACTTGTATTTGGTTGAGTGTTGTATTGTAAACTAGATACCTATGATGTGTTTTAATGTCAAACAACGTATTTAACATAATAGGTTGTATTGGTTCTTTTTGGAGTCGCGTGTTTCACTTTTTTCATTATGAAATGGGTCGAGGTTATTACCGGACCAAAAAAGTGTAAAATTATAATGTTACAAGTGAAACGACATGTGACAAAATAAAATAATAGATTACAACTAGTAGAAATTTGTTTTGTAACTTAAATTCTATGGTAGGGATCTTTTCTATGTTAGAACTTCCCTTCTTTAAGTCTAAATTCTATTTGAAGAAATAAATATTTAATATTCCATAAATCATGTTTGTTTTATTTTTAAACAACATGTGCTCTACAGTTAAAGAAATCAGAAGAAAATAATAGATTACAACTAGTAGAAAACAATATTAATAGGATAGCATAACAAGTTATCATATATGGAAACACAAACCATTACAAATAATAGCATACATTACATTTTACATTTTACAAGCTGTAGACAACAACACCAAAAAAGAAAATCCAATTAAATAGTAATCCTACCTTCAAATGCACTATCTTTCTTTGAAGCTTCTTCTTCGATCGAGCTAAGTTAGAAATTATCAGGGGATTACTGTCTTTTGCCTCATCCACCCAACAAATAAACCCTGTCTGTGGTTGCTGATAAATAAATATAAAAAAATTATGTATATTGTTTAAATATTGGGTAAAAAATTATAATATAAATAATTACAGTACAATCCAAATACCTCTTTAGGATAAGCATAAAACAACCGTCCAGGTTGTTGGTAGTTCCTGAGGTCCTTATAATACCTTGAGCCCCACAATTGGAAATTGTCATTTCTTTGGTTTATGAGAAGTAAATTTTTGTTAGTGTTGATAGATAAATATATATCATCAAGGGATTATGTAACAACCCGAAATTCCGTACCAGTTCTTGTAACTCTTTTCGTAGTTCAATTCAAGCAACCAATCGTCGTTTTCAAATCCGATTCCGATTTCGCCGTTTCATTAAGTCATTAATTTGTATCAATATAAAATGACTTAATGGGTGTCATAATATATTTAGAAATTATTCTAACACCCCATTCTAGTAATCGGAACATTTCTAAAATCGACCATATCGGGTTACAACAACTTAATCGGGTACAACCAAAAGCCTCGCCTAACGCCGGTATCGGGTAGAATTCCACCGTGTCCAAAACTTAGACACTATATAAAGTGTTCTAAGCCTTCATTTGAAGCTTTTGGCTTCATCTCCCTACTCTCTCTCTAACCTCTCTCCTCACTCTAGATTAAGGTCCAAAATCAATGATTTAAGGCTCCAAATCATAGAGGTAACCTTCCTAGCTTGTTATTCAACCTCTTAGGCCTTCAAATCCGTGTTTAAAATGTGAAATAGGACTTGGAACATGTGTTTATGGCCAAGGAGTAAGCTTGGGCCGTAAACACACAAAAATGGGGTTTTTTAGCCACTAAACCCTTCCAAATCATTGTTGGGACTTAGATATGACCTTGAGGCTTACAAACCTAGACTTGGAACACATTAAACTTGAATTTTGAGGGACAAAAGAGAGTTTACGGCCAAGGCATGTGCTTGGGCCGTAAACACCTCAAACATGGGAGTAAAGACCTTTTAACATGTTAGAATGCCTTGTAATTTAACCAATAGCCTTGTGGTAAATCCTAGAAACATTTAAAAATAGTTTGGGGGCCTTAAACATAACAAAACACCACATATAAGAGTTTACAGCCATATAACATGCTCATGGGCCGTAAACTCCTAAATGTGTGTTAAATGGTGCCCTATATTCACAACAAGGCTTGGAAAATTAACTAGAATCACATATGATTGTTCCTTATAGCTCAAATTAATTATTGTTGACCATGGGTGAGTTTTCGGCCGTAAACTCCAAGTTTACAGTCGTGAACTCCCTTAAATATGGTATAAGTCCATTTAATCCATTCCAAGGCATTTGATAAATTCATTCCAACAATCCCCATGTCCAAACAAGCCATTAAACATTCAAAATCACACTAACATGAGTTTACGGCCGTAAACTCATGTATGTATGTGTTTTGTGGCTATAAAATCCCTTAAATGTTTACTCTTGGGGAGTAAACTCGAATCCCAAGTCCCTAGTGCCATTTCACGTCCGAAGATGTCACCCGGGTCACTCCAAACGCTCGTTTTGAGGTGTTTAACCTCGTTGGAGTGTAATGTTCCATATAATTAGTGATTGTAAATCTAATTAGATATATATGGACATTATTACATTTTACATAGGAACATCGCGAGTAATCAAGCCCCGAACCAACATCTAGTGTGCGAAACCGTCGCATTTCTGAGTCTGGTGAGTTCATACCCCTATCCTTTTTCACTGTTTTCTCTGTTTTCAGGGGCGGGGGGGGGGGGGGGGGACACAAGCAAAGTACAAGGGATTTCTTGTACTCAAAACATGTTTCCATATATGTGTTTCACGTTTTATATGCTTTTAACACTGATTGTTACAATTGATAACCGTTTGAACATGTAGATCACGTAAACATATATTTGTGAAATGGATTTTAAACTGTTATGTTTTATACATATTTAACAAATGGTTTTCCACATTTTATTAGTTAAAAGCATGACATTAGAACATTTGAACATAAAACCTGTACACTGTTTTGTCCTTGGTAACACTCCACATAAATACGCGAGTGGAGGATTATCATATTATTACTAGTAAATTTGTTAATGCTGTATGATTGGAGACACGTCCTCGGTGAACACACCACAGATATACGCAAGTGGAGGACTGCACTCGTAACCAGAATCTCTGGGATTTAGAGAGCGTGACTTGAGTGTATAGATCTATACGGGGCTGACTACCCCACACCTGGCTGCTAGATACAGCCGAACCGAAATGGTTCAAGGGTGACGAAAGTCATAAGTATGTGGACTACTTATTGCCACAAGGTTTATTCCATTGTATGGTTATGGAACTCGCAATTAGGATAACAGAGATTTACTTATGGTAATAATGAATAACTTTATACAATTCACAGGATAACCAAGTTTCAGTATACATCTTTCACATTGGTAACCAGCATTCAGGAAAGTATGGGACTTTCCTACGAAACCTTGTACATAACCAGGTGTAACAGGAATACATATTTCACATTGATAACCAATATTCAGGAAAGTATGGGACTTTCCTGGGGAAACATTGAACATAACCACATTTTACAAATACATCTTTTACAGTGATAACTAAGATTCAGGAAAGTATGGAACTTTCCTGGGGAAAACGTTTACATAACCAGAAAGGGTAACAAACCAGATAACTTTACTTTACATCTTTCACAATTGGTAAAACAATCAGGAAAGTATGGGACTTTCGTGGGAATACATTGAAACATAACCAAAACAGTATGTCAAACCAGATAACCTAACTATACATTTACACAAGAGAAAACATGTTTTCATTGTACAACTTTACTTTACATGTTGATAAACGATAACAAACCTTTTTTAGAAAATATGGGATTTTCTTGGTGTACATAACATTTCTGAATCAGAAAGCAACCTTAAACATTCACAACAAAAACTGCTTATGAACTCACCAGCGTTATGCTGATTTTCAAACGGCTTGTGTTCTCAGGTCAGCGTTAGAACAGGTACCCGAAGATCCTTTTTGTCAGAAGACAAAGTTCTTAGAAGACCCGTTTCATTTTGTTCATATATATACTATGTATCACAACTGTACAACTTTACTTTTGAAACAATTATAAAACTTTTCTCTATGTAATGTAATGGTTTTTTTACTTTACTTACTATGTACAATGGATTTGATACTCAACGTGGAGTCAACCCCGGAAACGTTTCCGCCTTCGGTTTTCGGGGTGTGACAGATTATATACTACCGTGTTATAGGTGTTGACTACTATGTACTAGCATTTGACTACTACTTTATTTGTTGTCTTACAGTGGAATTCAGATATATGATTGTAATTTGAGTACCATGTTATAGGTGTTGACTACTATCTACTAGCATTTGACTACTACTTTATGTGTTGTCTTATCGTACAGTGAAATTCGGACATATGATTGTAATTTGACTACCATGTTATAGGTGTTGACTAGTATCTACTAGCGTTTGACTACTATTTTATGTGTTGTCTTATCGTACAGTGAAATTCGGACATATGATTGTAATTTGACTACCGTGTTATAGGTGTTGACTACTATCTACTAGCGTTTGACTACTACTTTATGTGTTGTCTTATCGTACTGTGAAATTCAGACATATGATTGTAATTTGACTATCATGTTATAAGTGTTGACTACCCCATTAATTTATAGGTATTGATTTAAATCATCCTTATCGTTAAATATGTGTTTAACTCGTCAACACTAAACATCATTTTATCATACAATGACCATGAAGAAAGTTTTACCAACTTGCATGTTTACCTACACAACATTCAACGTATAAATCCTGATTGTTACACTTACATCAAAACCGATGTTCTGCATTTGTTCCAACTATGTTTTGTCGGCTATTGGATGTGTGGTAATGCACTTGCGATTTGTTTATTTTTAATGCTACAAAGATTTATATTAGTTAAAAAAACTATTAATTATGTTGTAAAAAATATTAAATAGATCAACGCATTCTTAGGATGCATCCTTCTGATAATTTTTATAGGAAATGTTCGAATTCGAGGAAAGTATCTTAACTCAATGTTCCTAACAGTTCCTATGGATGGAAACAACAACACTACGCCAATATCATTTGGTATTGGGGTGGCAAATAATGTTAACTCTTGCACTTCGTTCCTTATGA